TTCTACATTCATGCCTTGGACATGGGTAGTGAATATTTCGCTGCGCATTACAGAGAACACAATATTCAAAGACTCAATCTCACATTTTCACGCAAGGAAACTTCTAACACATTTTAAAGAGTCTCAACAGGAACTTCCAAAACCACCACTGTATTTCTTGACATGAATGGTTCATATTTCAAGTAATTCCTCCTATTATGGGTATAGTTAATCTAATCTGTCACCTAGGCACTGCACTTCCAGTCTGCATAACTTCTTAGTGATATTGTCAGCGTTTTTCTTTACCGCTGTCTCTTTCTAACGTTTCTTTCATTGGATGTCAACAATTTCTTCGTCCATTGTAGATTTATAGCACCTTATGAAAATTTGGCACCAATCTCATCCATGTCAAATAAATGGTTCGATTGGGCTCTAGATCTCACTTTGATTAAGAAGCGACCAAATTCTGCACCTTCAGCCAGTAAATATGCTCACATGGTTAAAACAAAGACTTTAACATTGGTTTATTTGATCTAAATTCCTATATTGAGTAACCATGGGAGAAAGGTTAGAAAAGTGGCGAGGGATCGGGCGGGTGGCATAGTGATAAGGCAAATTCAAATAGAAACAGAAGCAATAACAGAAGAAAGATTGAAAATGATGAAGAAACAGAAATAAAGGAGGAAACACAGACTGACGTGGTGGACAGTACAAATCAGTAAAGAAGTCTCATTTTACCTCAAGGAATGCTGGATTGCAAGTTTTTGTTTCCAAATCATTGGCTACAACTGAAAAAGGATAATGCAGGCACAATGCTTTCCTTTGCAGAAGTATTTTCTCACATGGTTCTGTGAAACTTTAGGAATTGATTATGCCATTGTATGACTGAGTAGCAATCAAGTTTATTGTCTAGAATGACACATGAGCAATTGTAATTGTTGAGATAACAAGGTGTAGAGCTGGATGAACACAGCAGGCCAAGCAGCATCATAGGAGCAGGAAGGCTGACGTTTCGGGCCTAGACCCTTCATCAGAACCATTTTCAGATTTTCCAGCATCTGCAGTTCCTACTATCTCTGATACAATTGTAATTGTTGCTTGTCTTTAGATTGCATGGAAACCAAAGCTGCCCTGCCTGTTTTGCTGGTTCAAATGGAAGGTAAACATCTCCTGGCACTACATAAAGAGCATACAGTTGCACTTTCCACCCCTTATTCTTTCTTCAAATATATATTTAAAAATTCATTCAGCCTAGTGGGTAGATTGTAATGCAATACTCTAGACAAAACAGTACTGGATACACAATAAAAACAGGTCGGATTTGTGTGGATTACTATAAAAAAACCCAACTATGAAACTTGGATCACTATCAAGATCCAATCTGCCATCACAACAGAACTGGCCTATATATGATCACAGACCAACATGACATATTCGGTTCTCATGCCCCTAGTGATGGACAATGAACGCAGCACTTCCAAAAGCCTGAGACCGTAAAGTTAATTATGGGCTGGTGCCTGAGTAGAGAGTTTGCCAACTTTGCACATCATTGTAGTTAAGAAATAAACTGAAAATATCTTTCCCATACCCCACATAGACAGCAACGATTCGCAGGCGAGTTAAACACCTGTTGCAAATGACAACGTCACTGAAGTTCGGAAATGTCACATAAGCTCTGAAAGAGACTGTGAGAGAGAACATAGTGCCTTCACTCATAAACTAAAACCTCTTTAACCTCGGTCACCGCTTTAAAACATCGCGCTTTCACCATGAGGCTGTCTAATTGAGTTGCACGAAGTGTTTCCATGAAAACTGCGCCCCTTTCACACTGATCACTACGCGAGAGGTGGTTCCTATAAATTGCAGCAGGTAAACAGGTAAATGGATAGTATGTACTCACCTGGTGACACAGGATAGTGCTGCTTACAAGTCGCCCGTAATAGTCTAACCTCACCCCGGAATTACTTCGACTCCTCATCCTGAAAGCTGCGAGCACCTGGTTGGTACTGGGATAGGGGGAATAACCGGTCAACCTTACTCCCCTTCTTTCGGTCCAGAGGCGAGGCCGAGCTCCAAAAGTCTCCGCCCCAGACCACCAGCTGGCGGCAGAACGAGACGGAACTCACCGCCAACCGTCACCGAGGATTCGGACTGACCACGTCGGCCTGCAGCCCCGCCCCGACACAGACTCCGCCCACACAGGTCCAGCATCCAATCCAGTCCCGCAGGGACATCTAGCCCCGCCAACATACCCACCATCCCCGCCCCCACAAGCCGACCCCGCCTACAGATCACGCTCCAGCGGACTGACCCATCCAGCCGTTCCAGCACCGCCCCCACACGTTGACCCCCGCCCACTTATCGTCCCCCCGCCCATACAGACCGGCCCCGCCTACAACATCCTAACCCCGCCCACATTTCCCCCAACCGCCCGCTCCTTCACACTCACCCCGCCCACTCAGGCTCTGCTTCTAAATAAACCCTGCCCTACACATAAACAGCACCCACAGCGTCTCCGTTCAAGCTCCACCCACTTCAATATGAAATAAAAACCGAAAGAACTGCGGATGCTGTAAATGAGAAACAAAATTAGAAATTGCTAGAAAAGCTCAGCAGGTCTGGCAGGCATGGGTCACTCGGTGGAGTCACTCAACCCGAAACGTTATTGTTGATTTCTCTGCATTGATGTTGCCAGATCTGCTAAACTTTTGCAGCAATTTCTGTTTGTCCCTTCAATTTGAACGCCATCCACACAAGCCCAGCCTTTTCCCCGCCATGCCGGCACCAACCGTTAGAGGGAACCACAGCATACTACACATGCGCAAAGCAGAGCCGGAGCACTGGCGTTTACTGCGCATGCTGACATCTGAGCTGGGTCCTCAGTCTTGGGTAATTGGATATCTGGAGCATGACATCACAGAATCCCTACAGTGCAGAAGAGGCCATTCAGCCCCTAGACTCTGTACTGACTCCTGAAAGAGCATCCCACCCAAACCCATCCTTCTCCGTAACCCCGCATTTACTTTGATAATTCACCTAGCCTGCACATCCCTGAACACAGCGGGACAATTTAGCATGGCCAACCTACCTAACATGCAGAGATAACACAGTATGGAACTGGAGGAACACAGCAGACCAGGCAGAATCAGAGGAGCAGGAAAGTTGACGTTTCGGGTTGGGACTCTTCATCAGAAAAAGGCCTGGCCTGCTGTATTGCTCCAGCTCCAAAGTGTGTTATCTCTGACTCCAGTATCTGCAGTTCTTGCTCCCTCTACCTAACATACACATGTTTGAACTGTGGGAGGAAATCAAAGCACCCAGCGGAAACCCACACAGACGCAGGGAGAATGTGCACATTCACCCAAGGTTAGAATCGAACCCCAGTGTTAACCACTGTGCTGCCATGCTGCCTTTGAAGCAGACTTTGAAGTTTTTACAAGATGACTTGTGTGTTTTTATTACAAAGCTGCATAGCACTCTATCAAAAAGTATGCCTTGATCTTAAACTTCTCCCATTGATGGCCAGTGTAGGTAAGGTTTTCCCCTA